GTCGATCTAGCCATGTCCGTCTGTCCGTCCGTCTGTCCGTCTGTCCGTCCGTCTGTCCGTCCGTTTATATGCAAACTAGTCTCTCAGTTTTAAAGCTATCTGCATGAAACTTTCCCAAAAGTTGTCTTTCTATTGCAGGTAGTATATAAGTCGGAACGAGCCGGATCGGACAACTATAGCATATAGCTCCCATAGGAACAATCGGAAAAATAAATGAAAAAAAATTATAACTTTGCTGTTTTTTAATTTTTTGTTTAGTTCTTCGACATATAGTAATGGTTAAATATTTCAGAATTATGTTTTAAATTTCATCAAAATCGGACGAATATAGCATATAGCTCCCATAGGAACAATCGGAAAAATAAATGAAAAAAAATTATAACTTTTCTGTTTTTTAGTTTTTTTTGTTTAGTTCTTCGACATATAGCAATGTTTAATTATTTCAGAATTATGGTTTAAATTTTATCAAAATCGGACGTCTATAGCATATAGCTCCCATAGAAATAATAAAAATATATAAAATAACTATCTAATAATTGAGCTGCAAATCATCATAGTTTCAATGTTTTTCAGCATATACTCAAGTAAATCATAATTTAAATGTTTTCAAAAGTATTTAATTCATGCAATAGCTGCAAGGGTATATGAACTTCGGCTTGCCGAAGTTTGCTTTCTTTCTTGTTATGGTTATTATTCCCCAAATAAACATATATCGAAGGTTCATTTTTTTAAGGTCATGCTTAGTAAAAGGAAATTTTACTGAAAGCAAGAATTTTTTTTTGATTAAGACCTTTTTTTATTAATTTTAAAGTGTTTTTTTTTTAATCTTAAATAACATAGCTTTGCTTGTTTCAAATATAGGCTAGCGAATATTATTTCGTGTGGAAACTATAAGTTAAATTACAGTGGAACGTGGTGTCCATCTCAGTTTCTTTTAAGTAGTAAATAGGCACTTTGAAGGCTCTTAATGAAATTATTTTGCCAATTGATCTGTCATTTGTGACATTCAGCGAGTGCTGAGCAAAGATCGTTTTAGAATTCCTGCCTAATGCCGAACTTCCCGCATCTTCTCCTCCCCCGGCAGATAATATTCTCGGACGAGTGCACGGAGGCGGAGGGCAGGACGTGGCACATGAAGCACTTCGCCTGCCAGGAGTGCGAGCACCAGCTGGGCGGGCAGCGGTACATCATGCGCGAGGGCAAGCCCTACTGCCTGGCCTGCTTCGACACGATGTTCGCCGAGTACTGCGACTACTGCGGCGAGGTGATCGGCGTGGACCAGGGCCAGATGAGCCACGACGGGCAGCACTGGCACGCGACGGACCAGTGCTTCAGCTGCTGCACCTGCCGCTGCTCGCTGCTGGGCCGGCCCTTCCTGCCCCGGCGGGGCACCATCTACTGCTCCATCGCCTGCAGCAAGGGCGAGCCGCCCACGCCGTCGGACACGAGTTCGGGTCCCCAGCTGCGGCCCACGCACCGCGCCTCCACCTCCAGCCAAATAGCCAGGTCGCCGCGGCGGGCGGGTGAACGAGATCGCGAGCGGGACCGGGATCGAGAGCGGGATCGGGAGGCGGGACGAAAGGGCCATCATGGCCATTCCAAGGCCACGGGCAGTGCCGGTGATCTGCTGGAGCGGCAGGAGCGGCAGCGCATGGAGGCCGTCGGCGTGGCGGATCTACTCCTCGGAGGAGGGGTGCCCGGCATGCCACGCCCCGCCCATCCGCCGCCCATCGACCTCACCGAGCTGGGCATCAGCCTGGACAACATCTGCGCCGGCGACAAGTCCATCTTCGGGGACGCCCAGACGCTGACCACCTCGATGCCGGACATGCTGCTCTCGAAGGCGGACGATTCGCACAGCTACCAGAGCATCGACAAGATCAACCTGAACTCGCCGAGCAACTCGGACCTCACGCAGAGCACCCAGGAGCTGGCCCACGAGCTGGATCTGGAGCTGGAGCTGGACAACGAGCCGGTGCGTGAGCTGCCCCACGACGGCTACGAGCAGCTCTTCGCCGGCAAGCGCAGCCAGGAGCACCAGCACCAGCAGCAGCACCCGACCGAGGACGACGAGCAGCTGGACAATCGGCCGCTGAAGGAGGTGCGCTTCCACAGCGTCCAGGACACGATGTCGCGCTCCAAGAGCTACACGGACAACTCGAATGCCCGGCGGCGTCGGCGGCGGCGCAACCAGTCGCGCAGCTCCTCCGAGATGCAGATCAACCAAACGAACCTGCGCCTGCACAACGCCCAGACGCAGGCGAACAACGGCGGAGCGCTCAACCTGCTGAACAACCTGGACAACTGCGACGTGGCCAGCATCTGCTCCACCTGCTCCTCCAGCTCCTCCAGCGACATGGACGACTACGTGTACCGGCTGCCCGCGCGCAAGCACTACGGCGGCGTGCGGGTGGCCTACGTGCCCAACGACGCCCTCGCCTACGAGCGCAAGAAGAAGCTGGCCCAGGACTCCTCGCTGGCCATGGGCATGGCCACTGGAGGCGGCGGCGGTGCGTCCCCGGCGGTCATGCACGAGAGCAAGAACTGCACCATCTCCTGACCACCCCCCATGCTGCCGCCCCCGCCCTTCAACCTGAGCAGCTACTACATCCTGGACACGATCCTCGAGGAGCAGAGTCTGATGCTGCCGGAGAAGAAGCCCGGCTGCCTGAGGCGGGTCTGGAACTTCTTCGGGCTGGGCAAGCACCGCCACTCCACGTCCCAGCACACCAGCAATGGACGACTGTACAGCGTCTAAGTGCGCTTGAAAAGTGAAAATTGAAAAGTCTTTTTCAACACGGTTGCCATGTTAGCAAAACCATTAATTCTTGTCCACTATCCATTACATTCGGATGGCATGGCAGCCGTGGCTGTAAATAACATATCCACATGTATATTATACTGGTTAAGAAGAGACATATAAGATCAGAGATGAGGGAAATCGTTGTACAAAGCTAAAACTATATCATATTTGCATATTCATATACACATGCCCCGCCAGGGCCATTTCCATAACTAATAAGGTAATCTAGTGCTAGACGTAGGCAGAACAGAAACAAACGAAAAGTAGAGACCACAAACAACGCAATCAACGAACAATAATCTCCAACGAAATCCAGTCGATGGCCAACAAAAGAATCTCCAAAAGAGTGAAAGTATATTAGCCAAATGTGCAATAATTTAAATTGGCAAGAGCAGAACGCGGAAAAAACTCCACTGCCACAAACAAAACGAAGCTTTGAGACACAAAACCATTAACATTTACAATATTTGCGGTTTCTTTTCGTCGACATTTTGTTAAGCAAATCAAATTGAAGATTCTTTTGTTCGCAAACCAAACGTTTTATGTAATTTGCGTGCTTTCTCCGCAGCGTGAAAGGGAAATTGTTATATAAAAGGAATGTGTCCAGAATACTTGGAGTGAAGAAAGTTTTGTAAGCGACCAGCGAGAGCTGATCGAAACCATATGTCTAAGCTATGCTATATCAACAAGTGTGTATGGAAACATAATCAAAAGTAAAATATATGTCTGTGTATTTTATTCTTAAACATCTGAGCCGTGTTTTTATTTACCCTATAGGTTTATTTTCGCGGCTTCAAGTGCATTTAGAATCCGTGCTTGGGGCCAAATGAAAGTCGCGTGACTTTACCCACAGATCCTTTGTGGATTCTTCGGTCATGTAATGCAGCCGTAGGTTCTATAACATGCCCTTACCTGCATCAGAGAATATCGATTGCCTGCCGATACACAAATAATATGGGTAATACATAAAACAGAGTGGGTATTTGGACGACTCTAATACTCGAACATTTAAACCATGGAGTATGCAATACCAAAACTCTTGTGAAGAATCTACAGAAGGTAATTTAATAAAAGAGAAGGTATTTTCAAGGTATGTTTTTCTAAACTTACTGAAGAGTTTTTCCAGATTGGGGATCAAATTAAAGCTGCGTACCGACTTTTACAGGTCAATAATACTTTTTTACCAGAGCACCAGAGCAAATTTACTACCTAAGGTCACACAAATAAAATGAATAAAGATTAAAAAGGGTACATGCATTGGGCAAGCCCCAGTAAAGCTCAAATATACTCACACTTTTACTTCTAATTTTAATGTTTTTAAGCTTGAAGTCAAATTAATCAGCTCAAGTGATAAAGTAGGTGTATAGGTGTTAAGGTGTATGGCACCATCTCGGTCTTTCGCTCCGCGGCCAATGTTTCTGGATAAAACTTTCTTCGTTAAGAGCAGAAATGGTCATCCCAATGTTGTCCACAAATAGGTATGTTGACTATCGCCCATCTTGAGTTTAAATAGCTTAGTGACCATGTCCATGTAGGTCATCTTCTGCACGGCGTCGTAGGTGAGGGAATCGCTGTTCAGAGCCTCTTGGGTCTCCCTTGTACAATCTTCCCTGGTGCAGCTCAGATTGGATTTGATATTGTATTATTGTGCTGTTCTTGGTACATTTTGGCTTTCACCATTAAGCGAAAAAATTGCTAGTTCGAATAACTAGTGAAACTTACCTTAAGGTCTGGCACATATCATGTTAAATTCTTTAGGAGCTAGCAATCATAAACTTTAAGGTCAGAATAATTTACTCAGATCTTTTTAATATTTCTCTGCTGGGGATGGGACCAGAGTAAACTTACTGATGTCGATGGCGACTGTAGTTCTGAGTTGCTTCTGGAAAACGTCTTTCGGCGTGGTATATACCCCCATATCCCCGACGAATGATTACGGTTCCTCAAAGTATAGGATTTGAAGGTTTCAAAAGTAGCCGTGCTGAAAAACCATAGTTACCAGTCGGTCGATTTAATGCGGAGTAAGTCTAGCAAACGACAAGTACATCTATTTATGTTCATCGACTGATACGATTGTAAAAGTGTTGTCAATTTCGGAACTGATTATGCATACTGTTGCTGTTATGAACCCAATCAAAGACAACTTATCTGCCGCTCGCTTTGGATTTTAATCAAAAATAATAATCAAAAATAATAATAATTTTTCGTTTGGTTTTATTTTTGTTTCTACTGATTAAAGCTTTCGGTTCTTGGTGTTGGACCTGAAGTTTTCGCAATATGCTTTTAGACTCTAATCAAATGTCTAATAACATAAAGTTATTTCATCACAAACTTAACTCTTACAGTGGTTAACTGGTCAAAGCTGAACAATACCAAAGTGTTTATATATAATACAAGTTAAATATATTTCCTCATCTGGTTATTTACGCGGCACCAAGTTCATCCAGAATCCCGACCGGGGGGTAAGGTTAAAGCCGCGTGCCGATCCCCACAGATCCTTTTCGGTCCTCGGGGAAGCCTCGATCTTATAATGCAGCAGCAGATTGTACAGCATGCCCTTGACTTGCATCAAAGCATAGCGATTTCCTGAGGAAGTGGATGTAGTAAATATAATTCAGATATAGTTGGTTTTTCATGGTCGTACCCAGCTCAAATTGTGCAAAGAGGTGTACCAAGATACCCCTTTAAAAACAATTTTAGCCCATGTCTTAGAAGGTTCAACTCACCTATACAGTTTCGAGGTCCCACCCCGAAAGGCAAATAGGTGTATGGCACCAACTCGCTCTTTCGCTCATCGCTAAACCTCTCGGGATCAAACTTTTTGGGTTCCGGGAAGTAACGATCGTCCCAGTGCAGCCCAGAGATTGGAATATTTACGCGGTCTCCCACTTTGAAATCGAATAGCTTGGTGCCGTCTTCGTCTGTGAGGGTGTAGTCCTTGGAACAGAGACGATCGGTGGCGGCGGCCAGAGTCCACTTACGAAGGGACTCGGAAATGACCATGTCCATGTAGGTCATCTTCTGCACGGCGTCGTAGGTGAGGGATGCGCCATTCAGAGCCTCTTGGATCTCCTTCACCTCCTCGTACAATCGCTCCTGGATGTCGGGATTGTGCAGCAGTTCGTAGGTGGTGGTGCAAATCAGATTGGAGTTATTTTCGAAGGCGGCGAAGAAGAAAATGAAGCACTGGGCCACTATCTCGTCGTCGGTCCACTTGTCCTCCGACTCGTTCTTGGCCTCCATCAGCAGCTGGATCATGTCGGGTCGCGTGATATTGTGCTGCTCTCGGTACTTGATGGCATCCACCACCAGACGAACAAAGTACTCCATTTTGCTGGAGTCAAAGATGGTCGCTCCAAATATCTGGGGAATGTAAACGCCGATTAAAAATTGGTTTCGATATGCAAAGTTCGGGAATGCACTCACGTTAAAGAGCCTGGGCACTAGCGAGGCCAGCATGAACTTGAAGAACTGAAGTCCGCGGGAGAAAACCAGGGACTGCCCGATCTGGTAGAACTCATTCTCCGGGTGGTCAAACGAGTTCACCTTGAGCCCAAACGCGGTGGTGGCGATAACGTCGTTGGAGAGCTTGTTGCACAACACCTTCATGTCCACCTCGAAGGCCTTTCCGCCGCCAGATGATCCCTTGGGGGTGTCCAGGTGCTGGAGGCACTCCGCGAAGCTCTCGTTCATCAGGGTGAACATGTTGCGCATCTTGGACGCCGTGAAGACCGGGGTCAGGGTGTTCCTCATGTGCTTCCAGCGTTGGTCCCTCATCACGCTGAGCATGTCGTTGATCAGACGCTCGTTGGGGCTGAAGAAGAGCTGGTGGTTGGGAAAGTGGTCGAAGTCCTTGACGCAGATCTTCTTGATGAGCTCGGGATCGTTCAGCTGGATCATGGGAGTACGCAGATTGAAGAGGCCCACTAGTTTGCTGCAATGGCATATCATTTCTCCTAACAATATTCAGCTTTTGAAATAACCGCAAACCACTTACTGCTGACGAGTGCGAGCGTAAAACTCGGAGAGCACCTTTTGGAAGGAGGCCTTCTGCATGGCCGAATCACCCATGTTACCGACGAAGGGGTACGGCTTCTCGAAGTGCAGGTTGCGCTCCTCGAAGGTTTTGAAAGTGGCCGTGCTCCATTTGTAGATCAGCAGGCCGATGCCAAGGAGGGCTATACAAATTTCAAGGAGAGCCATGACTAGTTAACGCACTTTCCACCTCGTTAATGTGCTGCAAACTGAGTTTCACAACGGTTCGACACCGCAATTTATATCCGCCGTAATCAAATACACCAATATAAGTGTACTGCAACATGTACGTAGTATCTATGGGCGTTCTCAGCAGGTTAGACGCATTTGGACCTGTTTGTTCTGACTGTTGCTGTTGTGAACTCACACATAGAGTACTTATCTGACGCTCTCTTTGGACATTAGCTGTGGTTGCGAAATTACGAATCTAAGGTGTTGTGTTTTTGCGCTTATTGATTTGTTTATATTTTGGTTATCTACTGAGACAGTTTCTGAATTGAGAGAGCTTTAACAACTTTTTTCTCTATCTACAGCGCTGCAATCTAATCTATAGAATTAAATAATTACACAGGACAACAAAATAACACTTTGTAAAGGGGCTAACAGCATTTCACTTTCTTAAATATTCTGTATATTCCTACAATTCTTGGTACACAATATTTAAGTAGCGAAATAAGATTGCCTTTAAATAGCCAAAGTAGACAATAAACTTGTTTTACCCTACTTACAGCCAACGGTGTGCTAAGACTCAAATCGCTTTACAAATTTTTATGATCACAACATTTTTATATCTTTCTAAAACAGGGTATTATACCACCATAAAATCCGTTTTGAGTATTTAGTTTGAGCATTCTATTTTAAACGTGACATTAAATGACATATATGTAATGCCGCAATCTGCACTTAAAGGCTCATACATAGATTAAGTAAATAAAATTAGAAACAAATAAACAAAATAGCTAGTTTGCTTTTGTTTTTTTTTAAAGGTAATTATTTCGAAAGAGCTTTATTTATTTCATTGTCCAACCCTTCAGAAGGAAACGGATTGTCATTGTTGTCAAAACGCAGTCCCAATTGTAGATAAGAGTTCATAATTTGGCTATCGTACCACATGATATCAGCCTTTGAACCAGGCTGATGAAATAATTTTCATGTTTTCATAAGAGCACTTAAAGTATGAACGAATGTTTTATAATCCATAGCGAGTGCGATTAAAGTGCATACGAAATTTGAGTTTAAAATTGGGAAGCTTTGGCAGTTTCGATAGAACCTTCGTATAATCAAATATTTTTCGCAAACTTTTCGGTCTGACTCTTCGCGAAGTGATTATGTCATCCCATCAGAACCCCAGTTTGTCATGTCACGCACGCTGAAATATGATGTAAACCTGGCCCGACAAAGCGTCTTCGACTTCAAGTTTTTGTTGATGTTGGGGTTCACTGTTTGAATATTTTAGCATATTGACCGAGGGCAAGTTGGAGCCAACAACAAAACTAAATAACAAGCAAACGGTTAAAACATCAAATTAGCCGCAAGCGTTATGGGAGAAATACAATTAAATATTTAGACAGTTTTGTTATCGAGCTATGTTTTGTTTTAGTTTATGCTTCGCTGTTTGTTAAGCTTAGAAATTTGCAACCACATACATCTGCAGACATATTTTGGTTGAAAGGGGCTTAAGAAAACGGTCTAAAAAAGACATTGGTCAGCAAAAATAACGTTAATTTAAAGTAATGTTATTTGCTAATAAGTTAAGTTAAGGGATTAATTATAAAAATGTATGTTTGAAAAAATTTTGAAAAGTGGAGAACTTATCTTGAGCGGAATAAGAATATAAAGTATTTTTGAGACAGATGCAGTACTTTTCCTAAATAAATACTTCGTTAAAATAACGTAAACACATAAATCGTTGATCAAATTTACAGCTGAAGTAATGGTTTGCTCGTCCCAAAAAGTTTCATAAAAGCCATTACAATTGAAAGAAAACTCAACATAATGTTGCTCAGATAAATAGCGATGCTTCTATTTCGCGGGTTTATGCCACTGTGAACAATAAAATATGTGCGCAAGTGTAACACAAATTTAAAATCATTTTTTTTGTTACATTGTAATCAACAACGAATGTTGTTTATCAGTTTTTAAATTGAGTATTGCTTATTGGTATTCGGTAATAGTTCTCAGACTCGCTAGGTTCCACTGTAGCTTTTCTGTATTCATAAGGGTTTATTCACCCCTTCGGCGCAGGCATGCATTTAAATTCCAGTACATATATGTGCAAATATTGTTCGCCCAGCAAACTCAGCTTCCTCATATTCCCCCGATGTGGCACACATGAAAACTCCTTTAACATTTTATGCGCAACTAAAGTGTTAGAATATATATGTCCATGCATGTATAGTGAGGGAGGATGTAAGTGATTGTGGATGTGAGTGCTGCATTTTATCAAAGCTTGCCCAGCAGTTGCCAATGTCTGTCAAGCTATAATGCCTCCTGCCACGCCCCGGCCCCGGTCACCGCTCCGCCCTCTTCTATTCCATTTCATTCTATTCTATTTCGCTTCTTTTTATGCTCAAATCATGCTGCATCATTAAATCTTGCTGCTGTCGCTGCTTTTGTAGCCATTTTCGCTGTTGCTTTTTCGCTTTTTGCATTTCCTTTCGCTTTCCTTTCACCAGCTTTTCCCTGAAAACCCGCCCGAAACCGACGGAGGAAATTTACGGCTTTTGGAGTTGGTTCTGTTTGGGACTCGCTAGCCTGTTCCCAGCCACAGTTTTATTCTGTTTGGTTTTTTATGGGGTTTTAAGTAGTCGTAAAGCGTAACACTTGATGAGATATTAAACGTTGAAAGGATACCCCTTAATATGGCAGGGGGTTCCCGATTTGGGATCATACATTGTTGCACTTTGTTTGATTTGATGGCTTTTTAAATATTGGTTTTTGAATTTTTCATTATTTCCTGGAGGAAAACGCTTTCAATGACCGTTTAATACGTTTGGGGCCTCGTTTAAAAAATAGATGTACTGAAAAAAAAGGTTAGAATAATAAAAGTCTTAAAGTCTTAATGTTTTAAAACGTTATCTATAAAAAAAAACATATTTTTGTAGCTTTAATTACTAACTATGACAGTCGTTAAATTTATTAAGAAGTAATAGACTCCAATCATTTACTTTTTTTGATGAATTGTTTTTAGGAGTTTTAGAGGGCGACCACTACTTCATCGCTATCATCAAAACATATAAATTAAGTTAAATTAAGCTAATTAAAATGAGTTAATTGTGTTATTATGTTTGTTATTGTTTTTAAATTATTTTTTGGCATCTTTGATGCCTTCTTTAGGGAGCCTGATTTATTAATTTCAAAATTGATCCATACATACACACATGTTAGTTTCACATATCATATATGTAGTATGTACTTTTAAGCTTTCCTGTATGTTACCAAAAGAATAAACCAGTTTTTAGTCAAGCGGCTTATAATAGTATGAGTTTTTAAGAAATTTTAATAAGGGTTAATTGGAAAATTCAACAGATTACAAATATATTTTTCATACATTTAAGGGAAGAGAAAAAAATTAACTTGTAAGCTTTTGGTTTATTTTGTTCTCAGTGCTGAGGGATGGAGGGCAGGCAGAAGGTGAGAAACAGGCACAACTCACCTGACAGCCTCGTGTCTGTCTCATCAAGGAGCATAAAGAGACCACAAGCCCGAAGAACCTTGTCTGCAAACTTGTCAATGACTCCCAGCAACTAAATATTTTATTAGGCAGTTGCCAGCACACAAAAAAACCAAAGACAGAAAATTGGAGAAGGACGAAGGACTCTGTGTGTGTGGTCGTGATTGCGTGAAATTTAGTAGCTCTTGGGGCGATGTAGGGACACACAAGTTGATGCTGATGCTGATGCTGATGAGCCTCATGATGTGCCCGATGATGATGACGATGTGGATGAGGATGAGGATGTGAGTGTGGACGAGGTGGATGCCACAGATGCGGAAGCCTGATGAAGCTGCCTCGCCATTCTGTCAGGGGAATTTGGGATGTGGCGGCAAAGTTCCTTGACTCCACTCCCAGCCTCCTCCTTCTCTGAACTGTTTGCTCACAATTGGCTGTACGTGTGCAACATTTTTAAGTAGCTTTCCTGCTCCGCACTCCCTGTTTGCCTTAAGTTCTGGTGGAATGCCAAGGCTGAAACATATGTTTTCAATTTGGCTTGCAAATGGAAAGACTTGATTGAATTTATCTAGTCCAAAACGAAGATCGATGCCTCTTTAAGATACACAAATTGTACCTAAAGCAAAAACTTAGTTAAATGAGAAGGAAGGATATTACTATTTATGCTTCTGTAAAGTTAAAAATTTATACTTCTGGACAATGGTATGTAATCCGGGTGGCTTTGGGTTGACTTTTTTCAGTATCTCAGTGGACGGCAGTACAGTGTGTATTCTTGGACAAATACAGTCTCTGCAGATTCCTCATGCCTCTAAAAAAAACAATCACTATAACATCAGCATAAACATTTAGTAAATGATTATGCAGATACAATTTGATGACAGCAACTCTTATATGTTATTCAGCTCATTGTGATCTGCTTGAAGTTTAATAAGTTATCTGTTAAGGACTAAGCTGCGTTGAGCCCTCCGGGATTTATCTCCGGATGTTGTAGATCTCAAAACATTAAACTTTCCGGTTTGCCAGCATGGCCCAAAACGAAGCAATGTAGTATAGATTTTGACACGAAAGTCTCGGAGGTGAGATTGCCCACCGGTCTTAGACTCGTTCTGCTGATGTGGTAGGAGGAACAGTTCCGGATTTGGATGTCCAAGATCCGACGAGCTTTCTTTCATCTTTTCTTATTTTAAAATGCTGCGATTTTAAGCGCGTTTAACGTTTGTAAACAAAATGAATAGAGGCTGAAACTTATAAGCTTTCTTACACGAGATCGTTGAGCTTCCAGAAATGAGAGACACTAAACCATCACTTCAGCTTTCAAGTGAATAAACTTATAGATTATGTATTTTTTAATATTGTCTTAAAATATCTATTACATCGTTTATGTTTTAAATGTAACGATTCATATTTCGGGGTCTTCCATGCTGACAAAGCTCGCTTTCATTTTTGAGGACCGATTTGAGTCCCAAAAGTGAGAAAGCGAAGTCAAGCACTTTTCGGATCGACGAAGCTGCACGATCAAAAACACATTAAGCGACAGTGCAACCAGCAGGATCGTAAAGACCAAGAAATCGAACAAGCTCAATTTTTTAATATCATTTCCATCTTTCACTGTTGGTTCTAGACGTAGTGTTTCTAAAAGCTTAATTTTCTGAGGTGATGGCTCAGGTGTATTTAATAACTGTGATTTTTCTTCCAGGGGGCTCTCATCCGGTGAAAGCTCAAGTTTAACTAGGGAACTTACTGTTATGAAGCTAACTTCCTTCGGCTTTTGGTTTTCTTCTATTACACGTACTCCTGCCTCCTTAAAGAATTTGGTAAGGTTGCCGTAAGTCTCACTGCTGAATAAATTGTTGAAAAAAGCCACAAATTTGAGACCTCGCTGCTGTTTGTAGAGGCGGTCGTATCTAAAGTCTCGAATTCGGTTCCACTCAATGTGCAGGCTCTGCAGATTGGAGACCATCTTGAAAATATGTGGATCTAAAATACGTATCCTGTTGTGCGACAGATCCAAATGGGTCAGAGCGGGGGACATAAGGGGCGAGTCCCCGTGGAGGTATTCCAGCATATTGTTCGACAGGTTCACGAACCTCAGATTTGGCAAAAGGAAGACCTCATCCAAGTTGTCGCTATGGGGAACAGGCAACTCGTACAATATGTTGCAAGAAAGGTCAAGGCGCTGAAGTCTCCACATTCCCATGAGGATGTTGTGCAGTTCTTTTGTTTGCATCATGTTATCACTAAGGTAGAGTTCAGTGACTGACATCTTGTCGTCCAATTGGAGATATCTTAGTCGGTTCTTTCGCGCATACAGTATGGCAACGCTACCCGCGACGTCCATTTTTCTTACCCCGCTGTTTTCCAGAATCACTGTCTCGGCGCTGTGCATATGCAGCTCCTCCAGGGGACGACAGTTGGTCAAGTCCAGCAGGACAAGACGTTTTAGAGGTATGGCCAAAACCATTATCAACGGATTGTCACGCAGACATAACCATTTCAACTTTGGGTTTTCAGAAAATGTCTTAAACTTCAGCGTCGCAATTTGGTTGCGAGCTAGGTTAAGGTCGACGAGTTCTGGAAGAGAATTAAACACACCTTCAGGCAAACTGGTTAAATTATTGTTCTGCATGCCGAGCCTCCACACTTGCGACAGTCCCTTAAAGGCTTCAACGGAAACCCTAAATATGGAGTTGTATCCCAGCTCTAGAGTGTCCAGGGCGGTTAGCATGGCAAACTGTCCGTCGCTCAGCTCGGAAATATTGCCGCTTCGCACCTGTAGATAGCTAAGCTTCGGTAACGGGGGAAGAACACGAAGATCACCACCTGAGCAGTTGTATATCTGCAGAATTTCCAGGTTGGGTGAGGCTTTCAGCACTCCCAAATTGCTGCAGTTTTCCAGGCGGTGTTCTACCAGATCAAAGGCCTTTTGATATGAATAAAACGTATCCGCCATCTCTGTACTGGTGCAATTGAATCCTTCGCAGGGCTGTTCGGAGTCGGTGATGCCCAGGACAGCAGCAACTAAGACCATCAAAAGATAGGGTAAACTACCCATTTGTATTTAATTTTCCTTCAGTCTTTCAAAGAAACGATAGCACTTAGACTCTGAGAGGCGCGCAAAAATAACAGTGAAGATTTGCGAAAAGCTGTTTGCTGTTTAAAAATCAATTGACTGGAATTCTATTGTCCAAGTCACTATAAACGCAGATTTACTTTGTTCCGAGTGACGAAAAAAGAGATGGCAATATTCAAGTCTAAGCTGAGATATACTAGATCCAAAGCTCTAAGCTTTATGAAAGGTTATATGAGCGCGCGTTCAAAATAAAAATTAGCATATCAAGAAAAACTGAAAAAGACGTTGGTTAAATAAACTTACTATTAAAACTAAATTTATAAACAAAATATGTATTCAATATGGCTCTATATATTTATCTATTAAAGAAAAAAAGCCAAATTTCGCATTATAAAAGTATAGTTTTTTTTTATTATTTGTTATTACACCCAGAAACTAGAAAGGAAACAAACTTCGGCACGCCAAACTACATATACCATTGCAAAAATTAGTACTACAGAAAATCTATTACTAGTTTTATTTCCATAATCTGAAAGTAAATTTATTTGTTGATATTGGTAGTAAAGAAGCGATGGCATACATAGTTCACATTTATATTTTGTGGTCTGCAATACTGACAAACTTGGTCTTTATTTTACAGTTTTAATTTTCTAAAAATAATAAAACGAGTTCGAACGACTAAGTTTCACTATATAAATCGCATTTAGAAAATATAATGACATATGTTCTGTTGCCAAAGACGTTCGCATAAAAGGCCACCTCCATAAGTTTTCGGTGCTGCTGGTAAAAGCGATCGTATCTGAAGTTCCTAATGAAGTTCCACTCAATATGTAGGAATTGTAGATTGTTAGCAATGCTAAATATGTGTAGATCTATGACACGAATACTATTGTGTGATAGGTCCAGTTTTGTAAGACTAGGCGAAATGAGAGGAGAATCTCCATGGAGAAATTTCAGTATGCTAAACGACAGGTTTACGAACCTCAGACTGGAAAGAATAAGATATCACTTGAATTGTCACCCTTGGGAACGGGTAACTTACGTATAAAGCTGCAGGACAGATCTAGGAACTGAAGTCTGTACATCCCCAGTAGGATTTTTTGAAGATCCTCAGTTCGCAGCATGTTTTCATTCAGGTCTACCAAAGTAACAGACAGTTTGTCTCCTATTTCTATATATATCAGTTCGTTCTTTCGCAAAAAGAGTAAGTCAACGCCGCCCGCGATTATCAAGCGCTTTATCCAGCTACTTTTCAGGTTCACGGTTCCAGCACTCTGCATGTGCAGCTCCCTTATCGGACCACAGTTGATCAGGTTTAGGTGGACCAGGTGCTTCAAAGATATAAACAATACATTAGTCAACGGATTATCCTGCAATGACAACCTTAATAAATATGGATTCTCTGCAAATATGTCATGTTGAAGTGTTGTAAGTTTTTTTCCTCTTAGGTTTAGGTTAACGAGTGGTGGAAGAAGACGAAATACACCAACGGGTAAACTCATTATTTCATTATGTTGCAGTTTGAGATTCCACACTTGCGAAAGTCCATTGAAGGCTCCAATGGAAACCCTAGTTATGGAGTTATTTCCCAGCCCGAGAGTCTTAAGCCCTGACATACTGGAAAACTGTTCATTACTCAGCTCGGAAAGATTGCCGTGTTGCAATATTAGGGTAACGAGATTCGGCAAAGAAGCAAAGACACTCATGTCAAGATCACCTCTAGTGCAACTGTCAATCATCACGGTCTTAAGAGCGTTTAAGCACCCCAATGTTGTCACACGAGTGCAGACGTATGTTTAACATGTTAGCCCTTGGATCGGCGTATTTGGCCATATTTGGTGCAGTTGTCTCCATTGCCGGGTGTACCGCAATCCTTATTTCCCAGACCATAGACCACTGCCAGAAGCAATATGTATAGAAAATAGTCTGTGGATTACGTATTTCCTCTGGAAGAAGGGGCTGAACTGACTGATAAGAGAGGTGCAGAAAAATCGCAAATAGCAAATAGAATTCGTAGAAAGTTTTTTTCTCTTTTAAGATAAATTGAGGGCAGAAATGTCAATTAAGCTTGAGTGTCCGCTTGCTAACACTATGTTCCGAAACACATATTTTGTTCTAAATTCAACTTAATTAACAACCCTTGCAGCTATTTCAAAAATGAAATATTCTTGAAAACATTTAAATTTTGATGTATTTGCGTATATGTTTGGAAACATTTTCAGATCAATTATTTGATCTTTTTTATGGCCGCTATATGTCATCGTTTTCCGATTTGAATAAAATTAAAAGCGTAATTCTAAACCATCTCATTATTACTATCATATATTAAAAAGAATTTGAAAAAAAATACACATTTTCATGTTTACATTTATTTGTATTAATGTTTTTTAATATATTGATTGTTCCCATTGTCCGATTTTAATGAAACTTAAACCATAGTTCTGAAATATTACTGTATCTCGAACAACTAAAAAAATAGAAAACGGCAAATTCAATATTTTTTTCATTTCATTTCATTTTTTTCCAATGAAAGTCGTCCGATCCGGCTCGTTCCGACTTATATAATTCCTGCAATAGAAAGACAGACGGACAGACTACTTTAGGAGATGTCTCCTTCACTGCGTTGCAAACATCTGACTGAAATTATAATACCCTCTGCAAGGGTATAAAAAGTAGTTTTGGTACAGAATATCAGAGATAATTTATTTGATAATGATAATTAAGTATAAGGCTGTTTAAGCCGAAGAATTTCAAGTATTCTGGTTGACCTTTAACACTTAGTAAATACATTAAATGTATTTAATGTATTTAAATGTAAATGTACCGACCAACAGGTTCTACATAAGAAGTTTCTTTGCTAAGCAACTAAAGTTCAGCGAGTGAGCGAGATCCTTTAATTCCCTGTTACAAATAAATACACTTTTTAAAATTTTCTCTTTCGGCACGCTCCAATAAAAAATGACTAGGAGCTTAACATATTTAAATATTTTAAAGGGTGACTAAAAGTATGCAATGGAAAATTGAAACGTATTATTTCGCAACAAAAATATATATAATATCTGGACACCGTTATAGGTAATTTCAAAAAAGTTTCTGTACCACCTGCCATTAGTTTCTCTACTTAATTTGGTTCCTATAAGCCTTAAAGCCTTTAAGCGTTTAAATGACCAAACCTTTTATGACTTACAGCTCCATAAAATGGTGTGACTCTTTTAAAGGTTTACTTAGGCCAAATGCAAGCTACACATGGCGAGGCTTGAAGCTAGCCAAAAACTATGCGAAACTTCATCCGTCAACGGAGTCCCCAAGGAATCAAGGGGAGGACGGAATATTCGCAAATTACATTTGCGGCGTCTGGTAGTCTGCATCAATCATACGCACCGTGTTCAGCAGCTGTCGGGGCGACCGGGGAAATGACTCCTGGCGGATTCAGTGGGGAATCACAACGTTGACAGAGCCGAGCTCCATGTCACTCCATTAAAATTACTTGCGATTCGCCTTTGTTGTTAGTGAAAGCGTCGTCTAATTGTACGCCACATGATTTGCAAGTGAGAATGCCAACTCCTTTTTCCGGAAAATTAAAATAAATTGTCCGAAATTAAAGGGAAACTTTTACTCTTCCCCGCAGCCATACCCACGACGGCTGCTGCTTGTTTGCCTGCTTAGGAATTCAAATGGCGTTGCTACGGTGATCCTACAAGGCCATGACTTGTCTGACAAGCTCCGACTCCTTTCCGCTTTCCGCAGGATATATACACATCAAATATAGAGAAATTGTGTGTGTTTGTCCTTTGGCTGACATTCATTTGCGATTCGCTGGGCGTCGGGACGTGGCTCAACTTTTTGCATATTACGCACTTGGTCACGTACACTCCTCATCTTTATTTTGCATAAGTTTGCAACTCTGACGCGAATGATGGATGCCGAGTGCAAAATATGTAAGAAGCTTTAAGGCCGGATCCGGCTGAAAATTAGCCCAATTAGGCCCTGCCCTGACAGTATGCCCCCGATAAGCAGGCCGATAAGGCCGAACAAAGGCAGCGGGCAGTTTTACTGAGACAAGGTAATTGGACCGCGGACAAAGTCGAGTTTGAGTTATGGCCCGGCACTTATGAGCATTTTTACTGCTCTGTTCTGCCGCGCTTTATTTATTTGGCGTTTCATTTTGCGACTCTGACTCCACGACCTTTGCCAGCCACCCAAAACAAGTTCAATGGCTCGGCTCCAGTGCACCACACCCCCCCCACCCAACAATTTTTTATTCGACTGAAAAGCAGGCAACACAATTTTTTATTTCGCATGTTGCGACGCTAAGTGCTTCCTGTGCTTTTTTGCCGGGACTGGGCAAGGTGCCACATCAACTTTGGCTAGCACGCCATAATATTAATTGTGCCTGCCAGAAAATATATTTTTTTCAGCTTATTGGGGAGTGGGGGACTGGGGGATTGGGGCACCTCCCCGCACATAAAGGACATGCCGGGGGCCACTTAAATGCCATTAAATTTTTATTTTATGCTCATGAATGAAGTGCGTGTGCTCTTAAATTTTTAATAATTATTCATAGCCGGTTCCTTGCCTGATAATCGCACTTTGTTCTTTGGGTCCGGGCCAGCAGCTATTTGGTCAACCGACTTTTTTGGGTCCTCTGGCTCATGGGTATTTGCATTTCCGGCCTTGCGGTGCGGGGAATTATGATTATTCTCCGGCCAGCTGATGCAGCTTTTTGTGTAGTTGGTCCGAGGGGTTGGTGGTCCCAGTTGGAGCTAGACCTTTGCACTAGTTTCCCCGTCAGCGACTGTCAACCTTCCCCGCCCCCAGGCGGCCTGAGTCGCGTCTGTGGGAAATGACAAATTGTCTCATCAGTCAGCGCAAATGTAACAGAACAGAGCGGAACAGAACAGAACAGAACGGAGCCGTATGCATCGCAACACAATGGATCAGAAGTGGAACGGTGCTCGTGCAGAAGTTTTTCCCTGCTTGCGGAACAATCATTATTATTGTCTACTTTTGAGGGCTTCATCTGCCCCTGCACCGAGAGAACTTATTGAGTGGAATGTATTTTTAAAAGAATAAATAAATCAACTAACTGAAATTCACTACTGATGTAGCCTTCAGAAGTTTACGGTTTAACAGCCATTGCAACTAAATGTTTTTGCAAATAAATGTTATTTTAAATCTATCTTTTTACATTTTGCGCCTTTGTTATAGTTTCATTTACATGATTAGGCAAGTGGACATTTTATAACTTGATTGATCGTTTTTATACCAGCTTCCAGATTTAGTTTTAGCCACTTTTGAAATAACTTTAAAGTGCCAATTAAAAGCACTAATAAACTAGATGATTATAATAAAAATTTGTTACAGTGCACTTTTTTCACGTTCTCATCTGCTGGTGGCATCCTGTTCAGACACATGTGTTTTTGACAAGCTGCCGCTCATCGCCTTGTGTGACATCATTTATTATATTTCATTTGCAATGTCTTGGGATACCTTGTCTGCATGCCATTTTCCCCGTCCCCAACAAATATGAGTAATGCACGGAGCGCTCCTTCTGCGCCGCAGGAGTATGCAGAAGTGCGGAAACTTTTCATTCCTTCACTCAGCCATTTAATGAGCAAAGTTTCAATTAAATCGAAGCTTTCAGCACTCGGCTTCAGATCGAGTCCCAGCTGCTGCTCAAACAAATCGAAACAAATAGAAGCAGTGGCCCGACTTCCCTGAATTCCGCTGACAGCAATGCCAATAAAGTCCAAAGCCAAGGAGGGAAAAAAGCTTATGTGTTTTTCAGCGATTTGCCCATCTAAATCACAGCTAAGTCTCTGGTCTCCCCCTCGGCAGATGAATTTTATTTGTTTGTCGTTCTGTCTGTTTTCTGTTTTCTGTTATTTTTTGCTTTGTTACTTTCAAATGTAAACTGATAAAAACAATTGAAAGCAAACAGAACCAAATGGGGGGAAAAGTAATCTTTAAATTAAGGGTCGCAGTGCTTATTTCTTTTACAAGTAGAGTTTTACGAGGGGACGGGCCCCAGAGCTTTGCCAGTCTTCTTTTCCAGCCCTCCCCCGAAAAGTCTTCAATTTCGCATATAAGTAAAGTCATTTGGATTCGATTTGAATTCAAATGGTTTTCGGTTTTGTTCCCATATTAAAGCGTTTACCACAAAATGGAAAAGTTCCGCCTTATATGTGTTTAGGCCTTGGACCGACCACACACACGCACACCCAACAAAGGCGGCACCCAAAAAGTGTGCCAAGCTCTAATTGATTTTTGCTTTGGACCTGGGCTGCATGTGAAGAGCTCATTATGATTTAATTAACTGTGCACTATATATTTACGCGGTAATTCATATTTAGCCTACATAAGCGTGCTTGACCCCTGAATTTTCCGCGTGTGTTTGTTTTATGAAATAACGGTTGGCGCTGTATAATTTTCACATTTTATTTTTATCTTAATGTTTAATTTAGTTTTTCATTATTTAACACAGTGCGTGGCGTGCTAGGAAGCGTGCTGGATTAGAGGATTGTGGGTGGTTGACCTTGAGGTGGAAAAGTCTTACTTGTTGAAAAGAGAGCGTATGGTTAAGGTTTTGCCCCTTTAAATCGCAATATTTATAGAATATTATATCTATATCTACTCAAATAACATGCATCAAAACTCAATTAATTTTAAATGAAAACTTTTACCCAAAAATATTAAAGTTTTGAAC